AGAGTTTCTCTCATTTTCATTGACGATACGGTATGGATTATATCTTAAGAATGCAGGTTGAATAGATTAAATTTTTTTCGTCAAAATAAATATCGTTACATTGAATACGACTAGAATTTCTAATAAATTCAAATTTATAATTTAACCACATTTTTCCACATATCCTCTTCCAGACAAGATACATAATTTCCCTTCTACACTCGAAATATAATATTTAATATATTTAGCATATTTAACATATTTAACGACAGAATATATATTCGAAAGAATTGAATTGAATAACATTATTTACCATAACAAAGTATTTTGAAAGTAGACTGTTAACTGTAGAGTTCAGAATCTACATTTACATAGGTAAGGTGGATATATAGGTAAAATAAACAAATAAAACAACAACTTAAATGTGTCTTACACAACAAGTTCCTTCTATTGAATCGTCTATTGCACTGTCAACCTCCAAACTCCAAATTACTTTTTAATTTCAATGTTTCCTAGGGCACAGATAGAAAGTTGACACTATGTCTAAATTCTGGATATACCCATTAGATTCCGAAATTATAGAATTCATCACTTTATGTCCAATAATGTACAACAACATGCGCTAGAGGTTATATTTCAAAATGGTTTGTTATTCACAATAAATTGAATGGGTGACCATTAGTACAGTTCTGCTACATTGTCTATCATGTCGCTGCATATCAACTTAATAGCGCCATCAAACGAGAACATATTTCTATAGGATGTTCAATTGAGTTTCGTGCATAGATCAACCATTATATTAAAGGTATGATGAATTACAAAGTAACTCTCACACCATGATTTATTGTTCATTATTAATAACTCCAGTGATGGGTACCTGAAAATGAGAAATAATTCGTATGTGCATAAGTTTTTGTAATATTTTATTATTAAAATAATTTTCATATAGTTAATATTTTTATTATTCAGTCACATTCAGTGTTTAAGTAGTAAGAAGTTAAAACATTTAATTAAAGTTACAGAAGTTCTTTTGGGACATTTCATTTCAAATATATCAGGTACAACGAACATCTCTAAAAACCTTAAAGAAAATGTGAAGTAATATATAGAAGCGAACTTTAGGAACATAGAGGGAAAGAATAAATGTGTATCAAATCAATTTAACGAATAAATGTCTAACTAATTAAAATCTTGTTGAAGCAAGTATCAAGAAAAAAACTTTAGTTTATATTCGTTTCCAATATCGAATGTCAGTACAACATTTATATATGAATTGAGTCTAGTTTATCTGTCACAAAAAGGATCTTTTATATGATAAGTAAGTATTTTCCACTCAATCAGGTAAAAGGTTATCCTCTTCTACCAGTTCGAGTTTATAACACGAGTTTATAATAAGGAATTCGTAATAACGAATCGATGACATCAATTTACAATATTCAATACTTTAGACATCTGCATTATCGCAATGAGAAAACGAAACTGTGATTTTTTTTTTTGAAAAACGTGGAAAACTCGCATAAACTTTTTGAATTATAAACAACATATAACTAATAATTTATTTAAAGTTCAAATAATCTGATATCAAACTAAATGTACATCGCATGCAGTAGTCTTATTTATAATATTGAATTCAAAATCAATTATTCGGTTAAAAAAGAATACATATTAAGGGACTTGTCTATGAAATACATTGTAAAGATGAAATAAATTATTCTTACCTCAGATGTTACTCAGCTGAGTATATTTCATATACTAAACGGAGCTTTTAAGGAAGGAAGGATGCTCTAACCTTCCTAATCCGACGAATTCATTTATTAAGTTCTGCAAAGCGATATCGCATTCGCATCTGAAACGAAAGCATACCCATACCCATACCCATACCCATACTCGTATTGTAGACACAAGTACACCTAACTTAAATCAAATGAGAATAAGAATTTACCTTCGCTCTGCTTTTTCCTTATATTTGCTCTCTAATAATTATACAATAATACTCGTATTACTGAAAAAGTAACATAAAAATATTACTTACCTTACTTAATCCAAAGAAAAAGGCTAATCTAAAATTCAAACGAATATAGAATTAAAATAATCAAAATCACATACATATCAGAACTAGGAATTAGTTTAATAGCAAATAAGTATGAATATGGTGATTATAATAAATCGCATGTACTCTGGACTGAATACTCACATAGGACGTTTTGACCGATCCATTATCAAATGCATGAATTTTCTAAATCGAACAAAGAGAAGAGAAGTCATCCAAATTAATGCTTTCACTTAAGATTTCAAATTCGATTTCAAATTGTTACTCACCTTAAGCGCAAAACATGAACGCCTTGATTTTGTTGTTTTGTGGCTATATGTTTGGCCATTAGCTGGAAGTTAGGCCAATCGCTTGTAAGATGACTTTAACAAGCGATTTGCATTCAGTTCAGCATTGTCTATATATGTAGGTATATGTTACCAATTTAGTAATTTCTTGCTCAACCTATAACTAACAATACTTAATATGATCTATATTGATATTTCTTTTGGGATATCAAAATAATTTAAATTTCAAGGCCAACTATTCTGAACATTGAAAAAGAATGTTTAAAAATACTGCCTTGTCGACGTCAGTTTCCATAAAATCCACTAGTGTGAAGGAAGAATTCGCAAAGTCGCGTTATTTTACGCGATCTGCTATTGCAGATGATTTTTATTTATCATTTTATTTACATAATGCAGAACACTCCGTTAAGTATTTAATAAAATATAGTATTTTCAATAAGTGTGAAAATATTTCTAATTTAATTTTCTTGTTTTTAGAAAAATATTTTCAGTCTTCATTTTCTGCTCTGAAGAAGTAAATTATTCGCAAACGCAAGTTCTGGAATAGAGTCTTTAACATAGGAAAAATAAACTTATGAAAAATAAATAAAGACGAAAAAAGAAAGACAAATAGTCCCACTTATGAAATTGTCATTATTGAGTATATGCATTATATAAACCTGGACGAATAAAAACACTCAAGTAAGATGAATGACACAGCGAAGGATCCAAATGAAAAATGCAACGAATTTAAATTTTTATAGGTAAAATTAATAAATTGAATAAAAACAGAACAAAACTTAAAAAAGGCAGAACAATATCATATTAAGTGAAAGATTGTGTTTTTAAAGAAGAATGCAACGTGACGCAACGTAACGTAACGCAATATTTCGATAGTCCTTAAAAAAATCAACTATTATTCCTCCCAATGCAAGGAGTTCAATATGTACATTTATATTTATTTTACTAGGATGCGAACTACTTTACTAGGGTACTACTTTATATATACAAATATTACACTATCACTCCAAAATGAATATTCTCTGATCAGTGCCTACTGAAGGTTTCATCTGTATACAATTTATGTACAATTCTACAGACGTACTTTAATCATCTGTATCTTCCGCAATCGTAATCCTATCAGTTTTTACAGATATTTAGCATTTTTTCTAAATTATTTCGTTATCTGTTTTGTAGGTAATACGAATTCAATCCCAAAAAAACTTTTTGGGTCTTCTACTCTCTCTGTCAATGCCCCATTTTAATTCTTTCTCGATAATGTAGCTGATTTTGTTTTTGCTTGTTTGTTTTACATAAAAGCATGTAAATGTCAAGAGAAAATATGAAAAAGTAATATAAAATTCAAGTAAAACTTATTCTTTTATATAATTTTCATTTTCATCAATTTTTCTTTACTTATTACTTTTTACTGCAATAAGTTGATGTTCACTGAATACCGTATACCGAATATCGAATACCGAAAAATCCTCAACGTTCTTCAGTAAAGTGATGAAATAGGACATTGGAAATATATACATTACAACCTTCGGGTTCATATCATATTTAGTTTTATTAATTTTATACTAAATATTAAATTACAATATAAAACATGTACTTCGCAGTTAATTTTAAGGTTTTAGTTGAATTACTTTTTTATGCACATAATTCGTCTTTTATCAAAACAAAAATTACTTGAAAAAACATTAGGTATATACCAAAAATATCGAACAATGCATATAAATCAGTTCTCCAACTTAAGAGAATTAATGCTCAGACCATCAGTGCATGTTAATACCAAAAGCAAAGGCAGACTGAGTCGTGTCGTAAACGATCAGCTGACCAATCCTTTTTATTAAATTTTTATTAAACAAATTTGCGAATTAAGAAATAAAAGATAAATAAATATTTCACAGTAAAAACAAAATTTAATTAAAAAAAGTTTTATTTTAGTTATGTTACAACGTCACCAATCTGTTTGAATACCCATCCAGTTAACAAGACGTCCATTGCATCGTATTCACGTATCAGATTTCACATATTTCTATATATTTTCTTAATCGATTTAAAAAAACACATTTTTAATTATTATCGTCTTAATCACTACTGTCTACTTCAGTAATTTTCCAAATGTATATTATCATTTATTCACTTAATTTATTTATTTATTTATTCTATTAATCAAAATTATTTAGGCACTGTTCACTTTAGAATCGCAGTCGTGTTCACGGCCGTGGTCTCAGTCGTGGTCACCGTCGTAAGAATGATAACAAGAGAGAAATTTTTATTAAACTTTGATCACACTAACAGAGGGTCTCCTCTGTACCTGGTCACGCTGATCAATACACTATTATTTGTGTCAAAAGTAAAAACTTTCTCTATATTCTGTCGTTCATGATTTATGGCTACGTATACGTTAACTAATTCCATCTTGATATTAGTCATTTTACAAAAAGGAAGATAAAAAACACAATGTTGTCCAAGTTAACAAGTTACAAAGAATAAGTAGGAGTGTAGTCTCTATTGGAGATTTTATTGTACAAACATGTGATTTAATAAAGGTTTAATAAATTTTTACAAATTGCT